AGTCTTCTGAATGTATTGCAGAACTGTGATTCTGTATACAGAATACATCAAGTTCTGTTATAATTTATATGCATATTCTCACTTTCTCTCATTTTGGTTCTTGCACATTCCTATTGAGGTCAGTTTTCATAGCTGCTTATTGCTTGTATGCGATTAACAACTCTACTCTATCCTTAGCAGTGCTTGGATCTACACTGGTACAAATAGGTATGGAAGACGAGGCAGTGTAGTTCCGCCCTGGGTAAACAGTTTAGTCAGACATTTTCAGAATCCAGATGCCGTATTTCTCTTGCCCTGTCTAACCAATTATATTTTACAGCATTATGTGATTATATAGGTTAAAATGTAACTTGGGAGGACTGGAGAATTACATTTTTTTTCTTTTAGTTACATCAGTGAATAAACTTCTTTCTTAACAAGCTCCATCGTGGAGAAAACCAAACCTGCATTTACATAATGCCTTTCATGTCTTCAGAATGTCCCAAATCACTTCACTACTAATGCAGTATTTTTGAAGCATAGTTAACATGACTGCCAGTTTGCACATCGTAAGCACCCACAGACTGCAATGCGATACTTACCAGATAATCTATTTCTAATTGTGATTGTGTGAATAAATGGTAGTTGTAAAACCCAGAGAAAATGCTTCTATTGTTCATTGAAGAGTGTCATGGGATCTTTTACGTCCAATTATGCTGAATCCACAACTTTCTGCCCCTGGCATAAGTGCCACCAACTGGAGCACAGTGTTAATAATACCTCTCTTACATGCTTACCTATAAAAGCACAAGTAGGCCATTCAACCTATTGTGTCTACCCCTCTAGTCAGTGAGATCATGACTGATCTGATAACCCTCAACTCTACTTTCCTGCCTTTACCTATAATCTTTAATTCCCTTACTGCTTACAAATCTGTCTATCTCAGCCTTGGGTATACTTAATAACCCAGCCTCTACAGACCGGTGTAAAGAATTCTGCAGATTCATTACTATCCCAGAGAAGACATTCCTCCTCGTCTCTGTCCTAAATATACAATGCCTTATTCTGACTCTCTGACAAGGGGAAACAAATTTTCCACATCTAATCTGACAGCCCTCTAAGAGTCTTGTGTATTTCAATAAGATTGCCACTCATTCTTTTATATTCCAACAAGTACTTGATCTCTCCTCCTCAGACAGTTCCTCTATACTTGGTATTGCCTAGTGAACCTGCTCTGGACTGCTTCCAATGCTAGTTTATCTTACTGTTCACCGTATTCCAGTTGTTCACAAGGGCTAGTGCCTCATAAGTATTAAGAAAACCTCCCTACTTTTATATTTCCATGTTCTTTTGAAATAAAGGCCTTCCCGATTACCCACTGAACTTGGATGCTAGCTTTTTGTAATTCTTCTACCTGGTTAGTAATTTAGTTCCTGTTGCTGAATTCACAATTTCAGCTGGGAAACCTTTTGCCTTTTATCAAATAGGCCAGAATCAATCTGAATGTTCTCATACTGTCCCATGTTCACCCAACTGGAATGGGAATCAAACTCTCCACTTTTGGTGCCGATCTGGAGCATACTGGGTATCCAGCTAACTGACTCACCAGGGGATGCTATAGGCCCAGTGGTAATATTGCTAGGCTATTAATTCTGAGACCTGGGTAATGTTCTGGGAGCCAGAGTTGGAATCCTGTCATGGCAGATGGTGGGATTTGATTTCAATTGTTAAAATCATCAAATTAAGAGTGTAATAATGACCATTGTAGATTGGTGGGGAAAACCTATCTGGTTCACTAATGTCCCTCAGGAAGGAAACCTGGTCTGGCCAACACGTGACTCCAGGCCCATAGCAATGTGGTTGACTCTTAATTAGAGATGGGCAATAAATGCTGACCTAGCCAGTGATACTCAAAAAGTTTATTTTTAAGTGTAATTAGGTATATTAACCTGTCAGCCTTGCTGACCCTTTGACAGGAGTGGAGACACAGGCTGGGCAAAAGTCTTGCTTCCATGCAGTGGCATTGTACTGCAGGTTACACCTTTCCCAACTCTACCCACCCCCCAACCACCACCAACGCACTCCCCATGCCTCATGCATCCTAACCCATGCTCCCCATACCCTCTATGCCACACTATGCCTCTCTACCCAGATGCTGAAGACCCATGATGCAACTACCAACCCCATGGCTCTTACCCTCAGTGTCAATCGTTGCATCTATACTCACCATCCTGTCCTTTTATGGACCTTTGGTTAAAACTTACACCCACCTTTGCTTATTCACCTGTCGGCAAATTTCAGTGTCTTTGTACTCGAGAGGAAAATAAAATTCTGTTAAATAAAGTTCTATCTCTATATTGCAGATTTCATTGCATTGAGCAAAACAATCTCCTTCATAAAAAAGCACATTTACTACTTTTGAATTCCTTCATCACAATAAAACCTTGTAAAAACAAACACCTCTTTCAAATGCAAAATGCACTGAAGTTTAGTCACTCCTCAAAGAGTTCAAAACCACGTAGCGAAATAGAAGGCACCATACTATAATAAAATCATAAAACATCAGGACAAGAGTAGGCCTGCTCCACCATTCAATAGGATCATGGCTGATCCAATATTCCTCATGTCCACTTTCCTGCCTTTTCCCTGTAACCCCTGATTCCCCTATTGATGAGGAGCTGTCTATCTCAGCCTTAAATATACACAAGGACTCTTTTGTGGCAAACAAATGCAAAAACTCAAAACCCTGTCAGAGAAGAAATTCCCTCTCATTTCAGTCTTACATTGGTGCCCCTAAGCTCTAGACTCTTCCTATGAGAGGAGACATTGCAGTATTTACCCTACCAAGCCCCTTAAGAATCTTTAATGTTTCAATTAGATCACCTCTCATTCCTCTAAACTCCAATGGGTAGAGTCCAAACCTTTGTTTAACCTTTGCTCCTAAGACAATCCCTCCATGCCAAGGGTCTTCCTCGTGAACTTTCTCTTAACTCTTTCCAATGAAATAATATCTCTCTTCAAATAGGGGGACCAAAACTGTTTGCAGTACTCCAGATGTGGTCTCACCAGCACCTTGCACAGTCTTGGTAGGATTTTCCAACTCTCCTACACCAACCACCTTGAAGTAAGGGGCTGCATTCCATTAGCTTTCCCAATTATCTGCTGCACCTATGTGCTAGCTTTCTGTGGCTCATGTACAAGTTCTCCCAAGTCCCTTTGTGTTTCAGCTTTTACAGTTTCCCTCCATTTAAATAATTCTCTGTTCTCTACAGATCCCTTACAAAATGAAAAATTTCACATTTTCCCACTATATACTCCTTTTGCTAACTTCTTGCTCACTTAATTAACCTGTGAATATCTCTCTGTAAACTGTACTCCTGTCTCATCTGTCTTTCTGCCTATTTTAGTGTTGGCTGCAGTACATTTGCTTCTTTCTCCAAGTCATAAATATATATTGTAAGCAGTTGTCGTCCCAGTACTGATCACTTTGGAAAACACTGGTTGCCAACCTGAAAAAGAACCCCTTATCCCAACTTGCTGTTTCCTGCTCATGAACCAATTCTCTCTCCACACCAATATACTACCTCTGACATCCTGTAGGGTGGGGGCTGTACCGAGGGTCTGTGTAGACTTGATGGACCAATTGGCCTCTGAATTTACCATGGCTATTCTACTTAGCCTGCACATCCCTGGACAATTTAGCATAGACAATCTACCTAATCTGTACATGTTTTGACTGTGAAAAGAAATTAGAGCACCCAGCAGAATCTCCCACAGAACATGGGTAGAACATGCAAATTCCACACAGACAGTCACCTAAGGCTGGGATCAAAACCCTGGCCTTGGGTGCCATGAGGTTGCAGTGCTAACCACTGTGCTGCATCGGCTGATGTCCATCTGTCCACTCTAGTTGAGACTTTCTTGAAAATCTCTGAATTAGCCAGACACAGCTTCCCTTTCATGAAGCCATGCTGATTCTGCTTGGTTACAGTATGACATTCCAAATGTACTGCTGTTACTTCCTTAATAATTGACTCCATCATTTTTCTAACAATAAATGTTAGGCCAATCAGCCTATAGTTACCCGCTTTTTCTGTCCTTCCTTTTTTGAATAGGGGTGTCATATTCAAAGTTTTCAAATCATCTAGCATTTCTCTAGAGTCCAAGGATTTTTTTGAAAAATTACAACGAATGCATCCAGTATTTCCGTTAACTACTTTTGGGATCCAACGATGCAAAATGTCAGGGCCAGGGTACTTATCTGCCTTTAACCCCGTTAGTTAATAATGGAGAATTGTGAAATTTGTATACAGCACCAATCCAGTAATGGAATGGTCAAATTTCTGGTAAATCTCTTGATTAGCTTGACAGTTCAGTAATTCAGATTTGTTTTGCAACTTTTCAGGCATTTTCTGTCAATTTTAACAATCCCTTTATCAAGATGTACTGGGATTATATCCACAGTGGTACTTTGGGAATCCAAAATAAATTTACCCAGCCTGTCTTGCGCATACCCTGTCCAGAAAACGAGGATATCAAATGGAATTGTGCAGTTTCTGGAATACTCCTGGGAAAATTGAAAATGGTATATTTGGGAGTATGTTTTCCTATTTCTGCTGTGTTTGTGGCCTTAGTCTTTCAGATAAGATATTAAACTGAGGCAGGTTCTGCAACAGTACTCGGGCCCGCAATCACTTTTCCTGCGCCTTAACAGAAGTCATGTCTCCCTGTTAAAACAATTATTTAAAATGTTCAGTTTTATTATTTGAAGAGTAGAAGTTGTTCTGCTGAAATTGTGGCTACGATCTCAAAAACAAAAAGAAGAATTTTGTAATTTACCTTGGTGGTACTAGACGGTGCCCAAATTGACTGGAATGTTTGCCCAAGTAACTAGCAAAACTTTAAGCACTTCATAGCCAAATAATTATATTAAGAGATTTTCCATAAATGAATTGAAGTTAATCGTGATGTTATTCATTTTGATTCCTTTTTCTCTGAATACATTTTTTTTGTTCTTGCAGGTGTCCTGGCTATCCTGATCCCACGTCTGGCAATTGTGATCACATTAGTTGGGTCCATTAGTAGCAGCACTCTAGCATTAATCATCCCCCCACTTCTCGAAATTGCTACCTACTATAGTGAGGGGATAAGCCGATGGAAGATTGCCAAGGACATCGTGATCAGTGTGGTGGGCTTTGTGGGATTTGTGGCTGGGACCTATGTGTCCATTGAAGAGCTGGTGTTTTATACAGTCCCCCTTACCAATATTACTGCTGGTAACCACAGATAGTTTAATTTAGTTCTGTTGTATAGTGTCCAAAGTGATTTGGATTTGTTTACTTTTTTTTTGCTTTCTCCTAAGCACTTTATTGTCTTCAATGCAGATGAATAAGTAGTAGTCTGTACAAAACTTTGTTTATACAACAGGAACATAGGTGGTTTCAAGTGAAGTGTATGTAGCTTTATTGCTTTTGTTTTATTGATGGACGATAATGTTTAGAAATTGCTTTGGTATTGATTTCTGGGTGGATCCTGTGGTGTTACAAAGTTCAGAACAGAGCAGGGAATTAAATCACTGGTGCTAGTCATTGATGGCGTACTCCAAGATTTCATTTGTAAATCTCTGTAATTAGTTTCTGTTTTTGTAGGAGTGGCTGTGTGGGAGGCATTTTTAATAACCTACTTAATTGCATGCTTTAATTTAACTTGGAAATTCATTTTTGACATTTTCAACATCTTGTTATATTTTTCAGTGCAAAAGGTGTACAAGATTTTTTCTTCTTTAATGCTCTATATCCAGTGCAACTTCTTTTATATGATTGGTAGAAAGTGCCATGAGGCAAGATTTATCTACAGTTATCAACTAAATCAGGTTCAAAAGGTATCTATTCCTAAGCTTACCTGACCTTTCTGTGTGGCATTGCATTTGTGATCAAGTTCAGGTACCTGTTGGTTTTTTAGATCAGAGGTGAATCTGATTCAAATCGTAATGGTATTGTTTCTCCATTCACCAATTCAGGCCAAATCCTGTGTCTCCATTCACAGATCCAAGATGATTTGTGTCCTTCCCCTTCCCCACTTCCTGCTGAAAGAGATAATGGAAAAGACAGCTTTCAAAAAGCTTTGCTTCAGTTTGATGAGTAGTAATGTATATTATTGTAAGATTGTGAACTCAGCCCTTTTTTACATTACAATCAAAATTAGTGATATTCATTTTATTTTTTATTTTTGAGAAATTAGATCTTATGTAGGATTTAAATGGAATGTTTTGATTATGAACACTAGTGAACTGGTGATATAATTTAATTTCTGAGACCCCTGCAAATCTATACTATACTGATAGGTGCACCAGTTTGTTGGATGTAAGGTCATTTGAAATATATTTCAATGCATTCATCTAGTTTTTAGTTTTCCTGTTTTTTTGAAAATCTAACATCAATTTGTAATTTTCATTCCAGAGACTAGAAAGTGGCTGGTGTGCTGTGTTACATAGGCAAACAGCATTATACATTTTGGAGGGGGGGTTGCTTTTTACATTAGGTGTACTATAAATGTTAATGAAAATACGTGTAAAATATGTACAGCACATGAAGTACTCAGTTTAATTTTATTTGCACCATGGACTCAACTAAAATATTTTTACTTCGGGGCAGCAGAAACAGGAATTACAGAAGAGAATCCTGTTGCGGAATAAAGTTTAAACATTGGGCTTTAACATTATCACAACAGATCAAAACAATTGAATTCGGTTAAATGGTTAGTTTTCGGCATTTTGAAAGCTGGCTTAATCTGGAGTGAATTGTATGATTATGCCACATTTCTGCCGATGGCTTCTGTTTGGTTCAGAATGCCGACGATCTGTTCAGAAACTGTTTTATGACTGATACCTAGTGATATCATTCTTTTACATTTGAGTAAGTGGTTCACATTTAGTTTCAACTTGGATAGTGACTGCTTAGATAAAATAATGCATTGAATACAATCAATTGTTTTTATATGGATAAGTGTTAAACATTTCCAAGATTGATTGGGCTCATTCTTGGGATATTTCTTTTCATAAAAAATTAAGTAATTTGCACAAGGATGAGGGATTTTAACACTAAAATTCTAACTGTTGTAATATAGCCAGTGCAATATCTGTGTTTCTAAACAAATGATTTCTTGACCAAAATAATTTGAAGAGAGGGAAAATAAGTGTTTCATTCACTTTGAATCGGCTTTCTCCCCTTCATATTTACTTTTAACTTTGTACTGTTACAGGATTTTATGGCTTCCATACTGCATTCAAATTATTTTTTCTTCCTCGAGCAAATTGTTGCAGGTCAGCAACAACATAATAACCTGCACCTTTTAACGTACTAGATTGTTCCAAGATATTCCACAGGAATGTTTTCAGACAATATTTTACAACAAATCAGAGATACTAGGGCTGATCGCCAATAAATTCAACAGAGAGTTATATTTAAATAAATGGTTATTATATTGTTGGAGATGTCAACTTGCAAAAGGTATTAAGAATTTAGAGAGGTTAAAGTGCTATAACCACCAGCATTCGAGGAGCAATGAGTTGCTTACAGATGGTTCAAATCCACCTTTGTTGGTGAGTGCAAAAGTGAATAGAACCATGTGTTCCCAGCAATTTCTGTCTCCAGCAGCCTGACTAGATTCTCAAAGAAGCAAAGCAGCAACTGTTTGTATTTAGTGATCCGTTCTTGACGGCCATTAATGGTTGAAGAATAGCTTCCAGAGAATAGTCCTGAAGGCTTTAACATAATTCATGGGTATCCATTTTGACTATTCAGGATTTATTCTACTCTTAAAAAGTGGCTATTATGTACAGCCAGCACTGTTCCATTTAGTCTTTTTTTGAAATTGGTCTGCCACTAATGCATGCAAACTTTGTTTTTAAAATACTGTAGTGGATTTCATGGGAAGTTATTTGCTGAAGTTTTAAATTGCATGATGCAACGGTTTTGTAACTTTATATTCTAGTACATTAATAGAGGTCATGATTTTAGCCACAGCTCACTATATGTGTGTAAACACAACTGTGTGGTGTGCACCTTACATTAGTTGAATTACTATTTCTGTCAATACTGAATGTTTACCGTGACAGTACAGAATTGCTGGATCAGGTTTGCACAATATTCAAAGTATTAACAGTTAATTAATAATTGTATTAATTCCTATTAAAGTCAAAATATCAGCCTGTTTTTAATATCTGTATCAATTCTAATGGCGGGACAAAGGAAGGCTGCTGTATAACAATAAATATGTTTCTTTTTCATTCCTTTCCTCTTCATTATCTGCACCCTTCCTTCCCTGACTCTTTCCTTCTATCCTTACTTGACAGTCTGTTAGACAAATATTTAGTGTAGGTTAAATAGGCAGTTCATGGATTAGAATTTGCTTGTGTTTCTGGGGATTATTTGTAATCTGCAATTCATAATGTAAACTTGTAATAGCCTTCTCAGGGTAATACACACAAATACTGGATCATCTATTGGCTTGTTTTGTTCTAAATGACTATTACTGTTGTGATTCTTTTGTATAATAAATGTGCAAATGGAAACTTGTTGCTTTTTTATGCTAATTAAAATCATACTGAGTACTTCGGACTGCTTTTGTGTTTATTGGTATCTTAGCGCATAGAAGCTTACGGCACAGAAAGGGGCCATTCTGACCATCATTGGCTGTGCCAGCCCTTGAACACACTATACTGTTTGGACAAAATTCTGGTTTTTTCTCAGTTTCATTTTACTAGTCTACTAATTAGCTGTATTTGGAATTATAAACAACTGAATTGAAATGATTCCTTGTTTCCAATATGTGATGTGTTTATCACTAATGAGGTCTTCAGGGAGGAAGTTTTCACCTTGAAAATTAGTTTTCATCGCACCGTGTCAGTTTAATTCCTCTTACTTTCATCGTTGAGAAATGCTCCTCTTCCCTATTAACCAAACAAAAACAAAAATTAATGGAAAAGAACATCAATGAGAATAAACGAATGGTCCAAACAACATCATAATCTCACACTGCACATTTCACAGATGAAATCTGATGTGTTAATAAGAAAAGGCTAACCAACATTATTACTTTGAGGATTATCTGCCAGAGCCTTCAAATTTCCCCTCTCCTGTTAGTTGTCTAATACTATCTCCATTTAGCAACAACTTCAATTTTATGTTCTCACCATTCCACCACATTTTATTTTTCTGAAAACTCTTCAAAGCTTTCTCTGATCATGGTAAAAAAGCTGTCTTTTATAACATCAGTTTCCTTCACTAAAATACTAATTTCCATCTAATTTAAAATTCAACGTGATTTCAAGCAAGAAGAAAGGACAAAATAAAACTCAACTTGATGTCATTCCATGCTCAGTGTTAATTCTAAATTCATCCTTATCTTCGTGCTTGCAAACAAAGAAAATAACAATATTTAAAGGACCTTCAAGAAAATGCCTTGCCAGCATTTATGGGCAGCAGCAGAAGCAGAGTGCACTCTTATTTAATAACAGACCTTCCAAGATCCATTAGGCTTAATAGTGTGGACAGCTTCAACTGCTGTGTAGGGATTGATTGCCAATTTCTGGAAATTGTTCTTTAACAGAACTGTTTGAAGGGTGGGAGATAATTATATTTATTTGCATTTCACAAGCTTAACATTTCACGAGATTTCAGAGGTAAAAATGAAGAATAGAAAGAAACTTAATGGAAAAATTCTACAAATGGGTAGAGAAATGGACATTAGTGCTCAAATAATATAACTCCATGAAAATATAAGTGCAGGTAGATGGAACCAATAAAGTAACCAATAAAAATAACTAGGGATTTAGAAATATGCCTTAGAATACAAGAGTAAATATGCAATTAATTTATACATAACCACGATTAAGCTACAGCTGGTGTACTGTAATAAAAACAGAAATTGCTAGAGAAACTAAGCAAAAAATGTAAAAAAGACATGAGGGACAGTTTTTTTACACTGTGATTTATATGTGGAGTGAACTCCCAGAGGTGGATGCAGGTCCAGTTATAACATTTAAAAAGCATGTAGATAAATACATGAATAAAAACAGTGTTTAGAGGGCTATAGGCCAAACGCAGGCACGTGGGACTAGTTTAGTATGGGATTATGGTCGGCATAGACTGGTTGGACCGAAGGGTGTGTATTCCATGCTGTATGATTCTCTATGGCTGTCTGAGACTCTAGGTCTTGCAGCATCTTCTTCCGCTGAAGAAGAGCCATATGGACTGGAAACATTAACTCCGTTTGTCCCTCCACAGATTCTGCCAGACTTGCTGCGTTTCTCCAGAATTTTTTTTTTGTCTTTATTTCAGATCTCAAGCATTCACAATATCTTGCTTTTAGTTGGTGTAATGTGTTTGGTTTTATCTAGTATTGCTGTAAAAAGCAATTCTAAACTATAAACAAAATGCATTCACCAGGGTTACGTAAAAATTGGGGACAAAAGGAGGAAACTGCAGACATTGGAGTTATTTACCCTGGAGCAAAAATGCCTCAGGAGATTTTACAGAAATATGAACATTCTGGATGTTTTTAGAGAATAACATACGCCCTCTTTAATGTTTAGTGACACGATAGAACGTTCATTTGTGTGAATGGTTCTGGTAATGTGGAACTTAAGACACGTAGTTTAGAGAAGGCTGAGGGGATTTTATGGAGTTATTCAGAATCATGAGGAGTTTGATCTGAATACATAAGGAGAAACTATTCACACCTGTAAAAAGATCACAAATGAGACAGCAGATGTTTAAAGAAATTGGCAAAAGAAGCAACAATAATATGAGAAAAACCTTTCTCAGGCAGGAGTGGTTAAGGTCTCGAATGCTCTGCCAGACTGTGTGCGGAAGGCAGACTCACTCGAGGAATTCATAGGGAGTTAGATCTTTCCTTTTCAAGTCGCAACGTTCAAAGTTAAAGGCAGGAAGCAGAAAAATTACTCTAAAGTGAAATGCTTATTTAGAGAGCTGGTACAGACAAAGTGGGCCAGGTGGTCTCCTTTTACACTGTTACTGTGAGAATGTTATAAACATGTAATAACCATTATAACCAGTAGCCCAGATCTTTGTACTGCAGCTCATGGAACATACCCCAAACATAGGGCAACCTGAAGTTTCAACTCCTTTTCAATATATCTGCTGTTTCCCCCAATCCCTCTGATCTGAGGCAAATGTACCCTTTGCCTCTTCCTTTCATAGAATCATAGAATCCCTACAGTGTGGGAACAGGCCCTTCAGCCCAACAAGTCCACACTTACCTTAAGAGCATCCCACCCACACCCATCCCCAATAACCGACCTAACCTACACGTCCCTGCACACTATGGGCAATTTAGCATAGCCAAACCACCTTGCCTGCACATCTTTGGACTGTGGGAGGAAACCCACACAGACACACAGAGAATGTACAAACTCCACACAGACGGTGACCTGAAGGTGGAATCAAACCTGGGTCCCTGGCACTGTGAGGCAGTAGTGCTAAACACAGAGCCACCATGCTGCACAAGACTACTGCACCTGGTATTCCCAGGTGGTCTTCCATCCAAGTACTAACCAGGCCTGAGTCAGCTTAGCTTCCGAGATCAGACTTTCTTTAGTCATTCCATACACCTAACTCCACTGTGGGCAATATGTTTGATGGAACATTCCAAATTCAGCTGGTTAGAGTTATAGAGTCATGCAGGATGGAAACAGACCCTTTGATCCAACTATTCCATGCTGACCATGTTCCTAAACAAAACTAGTCCCATTTGCCTGTGTTTGGCCTGTATCCCTCCAAATCTTTTCTATTCACGTGTTTCTCTAAATGTCTTAAATGTTGTAACTGCACCCATTTTCACAACTTCCTGAACATAGGAGTTATGGTTAGTAAGTTTGCAGATGACACCAAAATTGGAGGTGCAGTGGACAGCGAAGAGGGTTACCTCAGTAGAACGGGATCTTGATCAGATGGGCCAATGGGCTGATGAGTGGCAGATGGAGTTTAATTTAGATAAATGTGAGGTGCTGCATTTTGGAAAGGCAAATCAGGGCAGGACTTATACACTTAATGGTAAGGTCCTGGGGAGTGTTGCTGAACAAAGAGACTTTGGGGTGCACGTTTATAGTTCCTTGAAAGTGAAGTTGCAGGTAGATAGGATAGTGAAGAAAGCGTTTGGTATGTTTGCCTTTATTGGACAGTGCATTGAGTATAGGAGTTGAGAGGCCATGTTTTAGCTGTACAGGACATTGGTTGGGCCACTTTGGAATACTGCATGTATTTCTGGTCTCCCTGCTATAGGCAGGATATTATGAAAGTTATAAGGGTTCAGAAAAGATTTAAAAGGATTTTGCCAGGATTGGAGGGTTTGAGCTATAGGGAGAGGCTGAATAGACTGGGGCTATTTTCCCTGAAGTGTCAGAGCTCAGAGGTGATCTTATAGAGGTTTATAAAATCATAAGGGCATGGACAGGGTGAATAGACAAGGTCTTTTCCCTAGAATAGGGGAATGCAAAACTAGAGGGCATAGGTTTAAGGTGAAAGGGGAAAGATTTAAAAGGGATCTAATGGGCAACTTTTTCATGCAGACAGCAATGCATGTATGAAATGAGCTGCCAGAGGAAGTGGTGGAGGTTGGTACAATTACAACATTTAAAAGGCATCTGGGTGGGTATATGAATAGGAAGGGTTTAGAGGGATATGGACCAAATTCTGGAAATTGGGACTAGATTTATTTAGGATATCTGGTTGGCATGGACAAGTTGGACTGAATGGTCTGTTTCCATGCTGTACGTCTCTATGACTGTATGACTCTGGCAGTTTATTCCACATACGAACCACTCTGTGTAAAAAAAAGTTGCCCCTCATGTCCTTTTTAAATGAATCTCCCCTCACTTTAAAATATGCACCCTAGTTTTGAACTCCCTCACCTTAGAGAAAAGACCCTTGCTGTTCACCTTCTCTATGCCCTCCATGATTTTATAGTCCTCTATAAGGTCATCCCTCAGCCTTCTACACTCCAATGAAAAAAGACCCAGCTTATTCAACCTATTTTTATAACTTAAACCTTCCGTTCCCGGCAACATCCTGGTAAATATTTTCTGAACCATCTCCAATTTAGTAATACTCTTCCTATAGCAGGGTGACCAGAACTGCACACAGTACTCCAGAAGAGGCCTCACCAACATCCTGTACAACCTCAACATGACATCCCAACTTGTAGATTCAAAGGTCTCAGCAATGAAAGCAAGTGTTATATACACCTTCTTAACCACATTTCTTAACCGTCAAGCCAATTTTGTTTCCAATTGGCAAGCTGTCCTTGAATCCCATGTGATCTGAGTTTCTCCAACATTCTTCTTGTCTTTATTTCAGATCTCTAGCATTGACAATATTTTGCTTTTAGTTGGTGTGGTGTGTTCAGTTTTATATAGTACTACTATAAAAAGCACTTTAAAAGTATAAACACAATGCATTCACTGTGATTATATAAAATTGTGGGCAAAATTAGAAAACTGGAGATCTTGGAGATATTTACCCCGGAGCAAAAATGCCTCCCAGGAGATTTGCAGATATATTAAAATTTCTGAATGTTTTTGGAGAATAACCT